TTGGTGGTCCCACATTTCTATGTAGTACCTCACCATGAATATACTGACCTACAGGTGTGCTATTTTTAATAAACTATTGTTTTTAATTTTGGCAATTGTTTAGGAACAATGGCGATAATATAAGCAAGCAGGCTCGTGAAAAGCTTATCAAAAGATTTTAAACAGTTTCTAATTTTTCTAAAATATATAAACAATATACTCATGCATGCACCATATCACAGCTATTTTTTATTTCGATATTGTATAGCTAGATAGAATAAGATAAATTTTAGTTTATGATTCGTATTTTTAACATCAATATTTTTGGGTCTTCTGTATTATCCAAAATCAATTACCGAAGTAGGCAAGTATCTTGATTGCAATCTGAAAAAAAAAAAATTATAAATAAATAAAAATGTAATCCTAAATTATGAATCAGGTTTTTTTGACACTATATATGACGTTTGGGTTTTACTTTTACATAAAGCAACGGTTTTTCTAATAAAAGTTTGGTGGTCGTCCTGGGGCCATAGACCTTTAATCGTCTCTATTATTTTATGAATAGAATTGTAGTAAAGTGGAAATGTAATTAAAGAAATTAAATTAATTCCAAAGACGTCGTGATGAAGTCAGGAAAGTGCACCACGTCTCCAAGTGATTAGTTAGGTTAACCGGCTTTTTCAATTTTTACACAAATTTACGTCTCTAATTCAACATTAGAAATTTTATTTTATAACTTAAACTCTTCACTCTTTCTTTAACAAAAATCTTTTATTTATTTATATTCACACAAAAAGATTACATAAATATTAAAACATATTTTTAGAAAAATAAACAAAAATGTTGAGGTGTTACTTCTCTTCATCAAAACATTCCAAAACATCTTCTATAACCCAATAAAAATAGGACAAATGTCATAAACCCTTAAATTTTAAGAAAACTATTGGTTTTAACTTTTTGTATTTTCTTGAGTTCACTAAAGGGTGGAGTTTTATTTAATGGGTTTATTTATTGCATTTATCATGTTTTACCCATTATTGTCGGTAACAATCATCTCAAAAGATCGACATCAAGCCTCAATTCAATGAAAGCATCCGGTCAACAAAAGATGATAAGACATATGGCTTCTAGAGGGTTAAAAGTGTCTCAGACAATGGATATGTCTCTTCTGAGACGGAGTATATCTGCCAGAAGCTTGTAGTGGCAACAGGAGAAAACGATGAAGGGTTAGTACCGGAAATTGAAGGCTTACAAAACTTCTCCGGTGAAGTTATCTATGCAAACTACTACAAGCCCAATGAGAAATACACCGGAAAGAAAGTTTTGGTTGTTGGTTATGGAAACTCTGGCATGGAAGTCTCTCTTGATCTCTCAAATCATAATGCGAAGCCATCAATGGTGGTTCGAAACTCTGCAAGTAACCCTATATAAAAAAATATATCGTTTCCAAGAAAAGAAACATTCGTTAATTAAAGATTTTTACTCCATGTTTTTTATTTAATCATAGGTTCATGTATTATCATGTGAGATCTTGGGAAAATCTACATTCAGTTTGGTGTTGATGCTGATGAAATGTCTACCTATATGACTGGTAGATAATATGATATTGATCCTCACGTGGTTGATCCTCGGAAACATGTAAAAATTTGGAATAAGAAGGCCAAATTTAGGTCCATTAGAACAATCATGTAAAAATCCTTGTTCTTGACATTGGTGCACTCTCAAGAATTCGATCAAGGGACATCAAAGTTGTCACTAGAATCAAAAGTTTCTACTAGAGTTTAGTCAAGATCATCAATGAGAACATTCTAGAAATCGATTCAACCATTTTAGCAACTGTGTATTTCAACAATGTTCCTTACTTGCTTCAGGTTACCAAAAAGGTTAAATTTTTGCTCTGTTTCTTGTATGAAATCTCATAACAAGATTTTTGTGTTTTAGTGATTGAAATTTGACTTTTAATTAAATGAATATCTATAAGAAGGATTGAGTGAACTATTTGGCAAAAATGGGTTCCCAAAATGACAGTTTCCTAATGGTTGGAAGGGAAAAGAAGGGTTGTAAGCAGAAGGATTTACAAGAAGAGGACTTGTTGGTGTTTCTGCACGCAGATGCCATGAAAATAGATAAAGATATTGGAATATTTGGAAAGAGGAACTAAATCATATGAAAAAAGGAAAGTCGCTACTTATAGAAGATCCAACTTGTTGTGACAACCCGAAATTTCTATCTTGTACAACCATTCACTTCAATAGAAGTCAGAACTGTTTCTGCTAACTTTTGAGCTGTGTAGAGTGAGTTTGAGTGTTTTAAAGCTTAGTACTTCAAGGGATAACAGGAGAGAGGATACCCTAGGGTTTATTGTGCATCAATAAAATCTCAAAACTTCTAGAGTTTGGAGTTTACGGCCCAAACATGGTGTTTACGGCCGTAAACCCCAAGGAGTATAA